CAATACAAGTTTAGCCAACGAATATCATATTCGAGACTTCGGATATTTCCTCTTCGGAATCCGATACTGGCAGAAGTATCACAAATATGAGGAAAACCCCAAATGAACCAGGTCACCAGCTGTTCCTTCACGAGCTCTTCTGCTGAGAAAAACCTACCTTGGCGCCCTTTCGGGTTTTCACCAAGGTTTTCCCCACCCTTTTGTTTTTGTTCTTTTCTTTTCTTTTTCTCTTCTTTTTTTTTCTCTCTTTCTTTTTTTCCTTTTTTCGAGGCGCCCCTTCGGGTTTTCGCCTAAAGAACAATGAAATGTCTCGACCATGATTGACTCAGCAATATGAGTTAAAGATTTCTGGCATCAGTAAAACGTACTTCCCTTGTAAGATTAGGTGAAGACATTAGAGACATCACCTACCAGCTGATTAACAAATTTTCTAATAGAAATGCCGCAAGTGACGAAAGCCAGGACTTTGGGCTTTGTAATGAGGTCCGGTGGGGTGCTTTGAAAAAAGTTGAAGCTTGAAAGCAGATTTGATACGAGGGGTGAAATAACTTGAGATTGCACTATTTGGAAACAACTCCAAAACTGAGGAAAATTTGCCTCATTTTGATTAGCTTTTCTCTCTTTGCATTTTCCTCACTTTTGCATTTTTCTTTGAAAACTAAATTTGCCCCAGTGTAAGGGTTCTCTCTTTTTTCTCTTCTTTCTTTTTTCTTTCGAAATAAATTTGCCCCAGTATGGGGTTTGCAATTCTCAAGGGTTATCAAACGAAATTTGTCAATTCTGATGGCTCAAAGGGGACAAGTAGAGATAAAATGTTTTTAGTGTAAAAGAAGATGGCCTGACTTGCATTTCGCCATTTGCATGAATTTCTTAAAGAAAATTTGCATGATCAAATGAAAAATTTTTTGCACATATCTGAGTTGATGGGTTGAGGGAATGCCCGTCCATCCATTTCCGCCAAGATGAGCGCTCCGCCAGGTAATACCTTTTGGACAATGAACGGCCCTTGCCAATTTCGAGCAAATTTGCCTTTAGCTTCATCTTGCATTGACAGAATCCGCTTCAGTACCTTATCACCTTCTTCAAATGTCCGCTGATGGACCTTTTTGTTATAAGCCCGGGCCACACGTTTCTGATAGCACTGACCATGACAGATGGCGTTGAATCGCTTTTCATCTATCAAAGTCAATTGTTCATGGCGCTGCTTGATCCAATCGGCCTCCTCCAATTTAGCTTCCATAAGGATTCGTAGTGACGGAATTTCAACCTCAGCTGGCAATACAGCTTCCATCCCATACATAAGTGAATATGGCGTTGCCCCAGTCGATGTCCGAATAGAAGTCCGGTACGCCATCAATGCATAAGGTAACTTTTCATACCAATCGCGATGCTTTTTTGTCATTTTGCGGAGAATCTTCTTCAAATTTTTGTTTGCGGCTTCTACAGCTCCATTCATCTGAGGCCTATAAATGGCAGAATTGCGGTGTTTGATTTTGAATTGCTCACATAGTCCATCTACCATGTCATTGTTCAGATTCCTGGCATTGTCTGTGATAAGTGTTTCGGGTACTCCAAATCGACAAATGATATGATCTCTCAAGAAATTGGCAACCACCTTCTTCGTGACATGTTTGAATGACTCCGCTTCAACCCATTTGGTAAAGTACTCGATCACCACCAATATAAATCGATGTCCATTTGAAGCAGGAGGATCGATTGTACCAATCGCGTCCATACCCCACATTGAACAGGGCCACGGGGCGGTCATGCTATGCAACTCAGTGGGTGGAGCGCGTATAATGTCACCGTGCATTTGACATTTTATACATCTCCGGACAAAGTCTATACAATCATGCTCCATAGTAAGCCAGAAGTATCCGGTTCTCATGATTTTCTTCGCTAGCAAATGGCCATTCATGTGAGGTCCACAAACGCCACTATGCACTTCTTTCATCATATATTGAGCTTCATCCTCATCAATGCACCTTAAAAGGTTCAAATCCGAGGTTCTTTTGTATAACACCTCTCCATTTAAGAAAAATTTTGAAGCCATTCTACGTAGAAAACTCTTGTCTTTTATACCAGCATGCTGAGGGTAGGACCCAGTTTTGAGAAACTCTTTAAGATCATTAAACCAAGGAATAGTATCCGAGGACTCGTCTGCAACCCAGCAGTGGGCTGGCTTGTTTTGAAGTTGAATTTGGATTGGTTCGATCTTCAATTCATCTGGATATTGGATCATGGAAGCCAAGGTGGCCAAAGCATCGGCGAATGCATTCCTGGCTCTCGGGAGATGTCTAAACTCCAAATTTTGAAACTGCTTGGCCAAAGTGAGCAGACTACAATGGTAGGGTAGAATTTTCGAATCTTTGGTTATCCATTGCTTCAAAGTTTGGTGCACGAGCAAATCTGAATCACTAAAAGCTATCAACTCCTTGATTTCCATCTCTAAAGCCATTTTGAGACCTAAAATGCAGGCTTCATATTCAGCCATGTTATTCGTGCAAGCGAATTGCAATTTGGCAGCGGCAGGGTAGTGCTTCCCTTCGGGTGACACCAAAACAGCTCCAATTCCAGCTCCGAGAGAATTCGAAGCTCCATCGAAGAAAAGCCTCCATTCAGGACTTTGTTCACTTATATCATCTGCAGCGCCTACAAATAGGACCCTCTCGTCAGGGAAATAAGTACGGAGTGGTTGATAATCATCATCCCTTGGATTTTCTGCCAAATGATCGGCTATAGCTTGCCCCTTGACAGCTTTCTGTGAAGTGAAAACAATATCGAATTCTGAGAGAATTATCTGCCATTTCGCCAAACGCCCAGTCAACATCGGCTTCTCCAAAAGATACTTCAAAGGATCAGACCGGAAAATAAGATACGTGGTATGGCTCAACAGATAGTGTCTCAACTTCTGGGCTGCCCAGGCCAATGCACAGCAGCTTTTCTCAATGAATGAATAATTAGCCTCGTACTGCGTGAACTTCTTGCTTAGATAGTAAATGGCTTGTTCTTTCCTTCCAGAGTCATCGTGCTGACCTAGAACACACCCTACTGCTCCATCGAGTACAGATAAATACATAATCAAAGGTCGGCCCGGTTTGGGTGGCACTAAGACTGGTGGATGCAACAAATAATCTTTAATCTTGTCAAAAGCCTGTTGGCACTCCTCATTCCAATACAACGGCACGTTCTTCCTCAATAATTTGAACAACGGCTCGCATGTGGCAGTTAGTTGGCCAATGAACCTCCCGATAAAATTGATCTTCCCTAAAAAGCTTTTCAGTCCTTCTGAGTTTTTGGCACTGGCATGTCTCGAATTGCTTTGATTTTCGCCGGATCTATTTCTATGCCCTTCTTGCTAACAATGAATCCCAACAGCTTACCCGCAGGTGCTCCAAAGGCGCATTTCGCAGGATTTAGCTTTAAATTGTACTTCCGCAACCTCTCGAATAATTTCTTCAGATCAACCAAGTGGTCCTCTGCCCTTTTAGACTTGATTATAATATCATCCACGTAGACTTCCATCTCCCGGTGGATCATATCATGAAATAGGGTTGTCATGGTCCTCTGATATGTTGCTCCGGCATTCTTTAAACCGAAAGGCATCACTCGGTAGCAAAATGTGCCCCAAGGGGTGATAAAAGCAGTTTTCTCCCTATCTTCTTCTGCCATCAAGATCTGGTGGTAACCAGCAAAACAATCGCAAAAGGTTTCAATCTCATGCCCGGCAGTATTGTCTAAGAGAATGTGAATATTTGGTAGAGGAAAATCATCTTTAGGACTGGCTTTATTAAGGTCTCTATAGTCAACACAAACTCTCACCTCTCCACTCTTTTTTGGAACAGGGACTGGATTTGAAAGCCAAATTGGGTAGTGGGAAACAATGATAATGTTGGTTTTGAGTTGTTTTTCAATTTGCTCTTTTATTTTGAGGCTTATATCTGGTTTGAATTTTCTGGGTTTTTGTTTTACGGGTGGAAAAGAAGGGTCTGTGGGTAACCTGTGCACTACCACGTCAGTTGAAATGCCAGTCATATCATCATAGGACCATGCAAAGACATCTTGAAACATAGTCAAAAATTCAAGCATCTCCTTTTTCTGCCTTTCATTCAAGTGAATACTGATCTGCACCTCCTTAACTTCATCCTTAGTGCCAATGTTAACCTTTTCTGTTTCTTCCAGGTTCGGTTTTGGTTTTTCCTCATATTGTTCAAGGTCCTTTGCAAAAGAATCGAATACCTCCTCATTATCACTCTCGCTTTGGAGTTCGGATTCACAGACCTCCAAGTCGTGAGTGATATAGAAATTGCCATTATCGTATTCCAGAACTGTGATATCCAAAGGGTCAAATAATTTTATTTTTGGCCATCTGAAAGAATTAACGAATGTGGGATAGTAAGCAAATAAGCATACAACAAACAAATGAATCAAGCAATATGAATATAAACAAGCGAATAAACAACACAACAATGACAAGAACAACTTGTGCATTTTCATAAAACCTTTGATTGAAAGCAAATGGAAATGAAAACTTAACAATATTTACAAACGTTAGTCAAAAAGGAAAATTGTTTTCATTGGCTATTTACAGATGCAAAGGTATTTTCATGAATTCACATGAATGATAAACCCCTTTCATTTTACCGAAACTCCTTCCGAACGGGCAGGGACTCGGCTGTCCAATTGGGAATTGATCCTTCGGGGATGTCAGGAAATTCAACTTCGCCTAGAACACTATCTTCAAATGTTGCCCCAACGAACAATTGGGCCAAACTTGCTTCAATTTCATCGACTGGGTTGATTTCTGACATGATCACCTCGGCTGGTCGTGGGAAAGTATAATACAGGGGTGGAATGTCAAGAGCCCTTTGCCTTCCTTCCTTCTCTGCTCTTTTACGTTCCTTCATTTCTCTGATATCCTTAGCGGTTGGTTGGAAACCCAAGCCAAATGAATCTTTCTTCTCCATAATCTCCACTGGCTTCAAAACTCCTTGCAGATTTCATCCTAGTCCCTTGTCAAATTCATAACCTCCTCGGATCATTTCCTTAGCCATCATAACACTGGCCTTTGGTAGAACTTGCTCCTCGTTTGTGATCCAACTTACAGAGACGATATCAGCCGTGCTATGAGGAGTCATGGTGACATTGCGGCTTCCATCCTCTTTTGTCCCAGAATCGGTGATTACAAGGCAATCCTTTTCGGCAAATATAGTGATCAGCTTGTCATTCACTACAAACTTCAGCAATTGATGCAATGAAGAAGGCACAGCCCCAGACTTGTGAATCCATGGCCTGCCAAGCAAAACGTTGTAAACACTAGAAAAATGCATGACTTGGCAGGTTATTTGAAACTGGGCGGGCCCCATTTCAACTACTAAATCAATTTCTCCTATTGGCTCTCTTTGCGCTCCATCAAAACCTCGGACTATGGTCCCTGAAGGCCTTATCTTGACGCCATGCAATCCTAGCTTTTCCAAGGTGCTCCAGGGACATATATTAAGAGCGGATCCATTATCAATCAATACCTTCGGCAGCATTTTTCCGTTGCACCTCACAACTATGTACAGGGCCTTGTTATGTCCAATGCCTTCCGCCGGCAATTCCTCGTCAGAGAAAGTGATTTGTTTGGTGAATAATACGTTCCCAACCACGTGTGAGAAATTATCAACTGAGATGTCCCTAGGGATTTGAGCTTTGGTCAACACCTCGATCAGCGCATCCCTATGCATATCTGAAGAAAAGAGTAGATCCAACATGGATATCTGGGCAGGCGACTTGCTCAGCTTTTCAACTACATTGTACTCACTTCTCTGAAGTCTCTTAAGGAAATCCAAGGCTTCTTTCTCAGTGATTGTTGGTTTAACGGGCGGCTCGGAGTTATTTGCTTGAATCGGAATGGCAGCTTCAAATGGACTTGCAACTTTCCCCGATCTGGTGACCGCTGACACTTCTTCCTTTGCAATTATCTTTTCCCCAATCTGTATGACAGGTTCATCATAGTTCTATGGTACTTGTTGCAGGCTCAGGACAGGCTCCTGCTTCGGGAATTCAATAACCACCGGCTTCAAAGACTTACTCTCAGCTGGCGTGAGATCCAAGATAAAGGGCTTCTCGTCCTCTTCAAATGGCAGTTCTATGACAAAGGGTTGGTCTGTGACCCCAAACACTTCAGCTTCCCTTGCCAATTCTCTGGCTGGTTCCACATACTCCGCATCATCCAGAATAACCCCAATGATATTAGCATGTTCCGGTAAAGGGTTCCTATTTACGTTCGGCCCTGGCGCCTCCCTTTTCCGGATTACAATCTCCCCGGCTTCAACCATATCTTGAATTTTATGCTTAAGCGCCTTGCAATCAAAGGTGGCATGTCCGGGGGCCCCAGAATGATAAGCACAGACAGCTTGTGGATTATACCACGCGGGCATGCCATATGGGTAGGCAGGAGGGGGTACTGTACCAATTTTCCCGGCGGCCTTTAACTGGTCATATAATTGGTCTAAAGGCCTACCTAAATTGGTAAATGTACGACTAGGGGGTCGGTTGTAAGGTTCAGAAGGTTGAGGATGGTTGTAAACAGGTCTATTTGGAGGCGGAAATCTTGGGTTATATGGAGGGCGTGGTCGGTTTTGGGGTGGATTTGGTTGAGAAATTTGAAAAGGGGCTGAAGGTGGGTTTGGATAGCTTGGGCGAGGTCGAGGGTGGTGGATGTTGGTAGTATATACAGGGTACGGGTTCGAATAGTAATGATAAGGTGGTTGGTAAGTTGGATTGTGTTGATATCGGGGTCTAGGCGAAGGGTTTTGGTTCCAAATAAAGGTTGCGTCCCCCTCCTTCTTTTTGAACGGCGACTTTTTCGCATTGCTTCCTTGCCCTTGTAAAGCATCCAACTGAGATTTGAGGGCGGAGACATTGACAATCTTCCCAGCTCTCACAAAGTCATCAAACTCCTCAAGTTTATTTACAATTGCAGCAAACGAACATCCGGTCATACGAAAAATCTCTTCGAAGTACGGCGGATCATGAGCTTTTATGAAAGTACGTATGATTTCATCCTCGGTCATTGGTGGCTCGACCTTTGCAGCTACTTTTCTCCATCTCTTGGCATAAGTCTTATGGTCCTCGGAAGGCTTCCTTTTCATTCCTTCTAACGTAGTTCGGGTGGGAGCCAACTCGCAGTTGTACTCGTACTATCTCACAAATGCATTAGACAAATCAATCCAGGTTTTCACGTCTTCAAGTTTCAGGTTGGAATACCAGTCAAGCGCATCCCCTTCCAGACTCTCGGGGAACAACCTTAAAGGCAAATTCTCATCGTCCACGGGCTTTCCCAATTTGTTGGCAAATAGTCGGAGATGTGTCTTGGGATTACCCGTCCCATCATATTTGTTAAATTTAGGGGTTTTGAACCCCTCAGGCAACTGCACGTTCGGAAAAAGGCACAATTCATCATAATCCAGGACTCCCTGCTTATTCAACCCCTGGCTCTTCCTTATAAATTCATCGAAACGATCTAGACGTTTGAGCAACTTCATATCAATTGGAGCAGAAGATTCACCCATTTCAGGCTTATTTTGGAAAGTGTGCTCCGGTATCACGGGTTCTGCGGTGGTTTGATAAAAAGCTGGTGGGTTCAAATGCATGTTTGGGTCGCTTTGAGGCTGAAATCCTTGACTATAAGGAGGGTAGAAAGGAGGATTTTGAGTAAAAGCATATTGCGGGTTAAAAGTTCCCTCAAACGTGGCTTGAAATGGAGGAATAACAAATGGTTCGGATTGTGGTTGTGTAGCGGGTACAGGCTCAGGTTGCACTCCGCTACTAACAAGCTCGTCAATCAACTTCTTCTGAGCGGCCATTTCCGACGCCATTTCCCCAAATTTTGTGAGTAACTCTGTCAACTGAACCTCAGGACTTGCAGTTTCCGGCTGGGTAGTTGCAACGGCCTTATCGGATGATTCTGGTTGAGTACTCATGTCTACACGATTCCTTTGGGCTTTACTTCGGGATCGCGTAATAATGGGGCTTTTCCGAAAAGCTATTTTGAAAATTTACCTGAGAATGCAAAAGACTGCTTTAGATAAACCAATCGTTACTGAATTTCTGCAATTTATTCAAAAGAGAAAAAGAAAAAGAAAAAGACATGAGTTAGTAACTATTTGAACAATTCGGATGCATGTCCTATTTGGGGAACCCTTTTTGTGCCAAGGGTAGGCCTAGCATGATGCAAGCCTTCGGGGTAAAATCCCATTTCCAAACCTGTAAGTGAATTTAGAACTTTAAAATGGAAAGCTTCTCATAATATTGCAGAATGGTTCAAACTTTCTTTACAACTTCGTCAATGGTCTTAGTAACTATGTTTACAAAATCCCTATGTCTTGAGAGACTTGTACTTTGTGATTCTCCAGAACTTCCTAAATTGAGCTTACGAGCTCCTTCTCTAATCCTATCAAAGGCGTCTATGGTTTCCTCTAACTTCTCATTCTTCTTCTTCTCCCTCCTCAGCTGCACTTGGGTATCTTCTAGAACTCTGTTAGCCATTATAAGCTGGGCTTGAGATTCCTCTAATTCTTTCCTTAGCCTCTCCATCCGTTCTTCGGGACTGGCTGATGCTGATTGTTGCCTTGCCCTATCATGTTCCACCCTTTGCTTGATCCACTCGTTGTACCCAGGCATAACCGCAGGTGCCATTTTGTTTACCATTTCCAACTGCAAATTCTCAAGTCCTCGCAGATTTCCCCAAGCCTCTAATACCATGCTTCGACTCTCGGTTACCGTACCCAATCTGAGATCTTCAAACCTTTGTACCATAGGAATACTTTGCGGGTAGCCAAACTGTCTCATAACCCTTTGCGGAATATAGGCTACTAGACCATTGACTCCAGCTAAAGGGATGAAATCATGTTGAGTGGTCCTAAAAGCTGGGTCCCTAACTTTGGTCCAATCTAAAACCCACTGCACCTTTTCTGGTGTCAAATTGTTGAACTCTTCAATAAACTGGCTTGACGACATCACGCGGTAGTAGCGACCGACTCTCTCTCGATGCGAATCAATCCAATTCTCAACTGGGAGGCAAGAACCCATAGGATTAAGTGATCTCTTCGCCAAATGTTCCATGATCCATATTTGAAGTACCAAATTTGACGCGTAGAAGAAACCCCCTTTCCTTTGGCAATTAGTAAGGGCTGAGAAGATATCTGCTATGACAACGGGTATCAAAGTTGGTGTTGCTTCCTGAATTCCTAAGAAAAGATTCTGAATCATATTGATGGTTGCAAATGTCACCTTTCCATGCCTTTGAGGGAATAGCAATAAGTTGATCAAAACCAACCCAAAAGCTTGTACTCGTTTCTCTTCCCATTGTCCCTTTGTTATGAAGTAATCTATCTGATGGCGCTCAAAGGACTCCTTTTCCCCAAACCGGTCATATAGAAACCTCAATGGACAAGATCTAGCATCAGGGTGTTGATCTAAACTATTGCTCCTTAATCCTAGAAATCGGCAAAACTGCTCTCTGGTTCCTCCGCTTGGGTATACCATAGGACTACCCTTTCCCGGCATTTGCAATAATCCTTCTAACTCTTCTATGGTTGGGGTGAGTTCGCACATTCCAAATCGGAAAACCGAGACATCTGGATCCCAATAATTGATCAGTGCTTGAATAGCGGACACATTGGGTATGATATCGACTAGGCTCGGTAAATGTCCCACATATTGAAATAGCCCCCCAATTTCATAGGATAGGTTGTTCCTCCACTGATTCAGCTCTCGGGGAACTTGATTGAGCATTCGATACTGCGTCATCTGGATGAGGAATTCACTTAAGTACCGTTACCTTGGGATTTTACCCCTTAGGTTAAATTGCAAAAAGTAGACGTGCAAAATCTCCCAAAAGTAGGGTTAAATACCTATGGGATTAGGGTTGGCTTCCCTAACATGGAAATTGCCTAATTGGCGTTCCTTCTAAGGTTTAATGCATGATGCCATTTATTAAAGCGATGTAAATATGTGACAAATATGGCCTAAAGGACATGAATAATGCATCGGGGGGAAAAAGGTCTAAAATGAAATGTATTTATTGAAAATTAAGTGCAATGACTGAAATTTAAACATGTGAGTTATCTAATGGGTAGGTCACTAAAAGAGTGCCAAAGTAGCCTCTTATTGCTAAAGCACATGAATGCAAGCCAAGAAAACAAAAGAATGGTTAGTGCAATTGATAGTACACATAACACATCGGGAGCAATTTAGAAAAGAAATATAATAAAACAAGTAAAAGGGGTAGAACCCCTTCCCTCGTGCCTAATGTGCTTAAAAGAGGGTGAAGCCGACTCTAACCTAGGAAAATTCTAATATGGATGCATGAGGTTGGGGTTCACTAATGCGACTAGACTCGATAAGGTTTAAAAGGTCCCCAAGCCTTTAGACCTAAAGGCCAAGGGTCATCACTCCCAAGGCCTTTGATCGGTGGCTCGAGTGATCCCTTAGGTAGCGCTATGGGCGCAGTGCACACCATCCGCCTACCCAAGGCAATCAATCCTAATCCTACAAGGCGGTGTGGGATAGCGCCCACGAAAAATAAAATCAAATGGGATAACAATAAGTAAACGTGCACGTATGGAGTGTTCCCTATTTTGAGGGAAGGGGTTGAGAACCACGCGAGGCTCTAAAGGTGACACACACCCCCCCAAATGCAATGCAAGCGCGAGATAACAAGTAAACATTCATTCAAACATACATTCGTGAGTCGAGGGATTGATTAATACGCGCGAAATGCAAAGTCCTAAAAAGAAAAAAAAAATGCAACCCTAAAACACCCAAATGTGATATATGAAAAGGTTAAAAGAAGAAAAAGGTTGATTAAATCAAATTTGCTCGGACTCTCAAATGTCCCCAGTGGAGTCGCCAACTGTCGCGCCCCATTTTTTGAATAAATAAATAAATGGTTTGAAAAATGTATTTTTGTGATTGAAAAATGAATTTTGATTTAAAAGAAAAGTGGGTCTAAATGGGGGTTTGAGAATGCGACGATTTGACCCAAAATTATAGTTTAAAAAGGGTTTTTTGAAAAATACGGAGTCGCCACTTGGTAATGAGTTAAGGTGTACCAAATCACCTAAAAAATGTATTTTTAAATAAAAATAGGAAAAAGTAGTGAGAAACCCTTTTTAAACGACTCCTAGTCTACGTAAACCAAAGAAAAAGGTTCGGGAGTCACATTTGACAAAGGGGAAGGCAAGGATAAAATCCAAGGCACCCCTTTGACCTAGCCAAGGCTAGTTGCATGATTTAATCAAATATTTTCTTGTTTTAACCAAAGAATTTATTACATTTGGATGTACTACATGAATGCAAACCCTAGATTCTAGGATGTCTCTTGTAAGGTTCTTGGTCCCAACCACATGAGTTGTGGCGGCCAATGAAAGAAAACCTTATAGAGGTCGATTAATGCAAATGATGATTCAAGTGCAAGTGTGCAAGTGTATAAAAAGGTGCATGTGTGCAATTGTATGGAAAAATCCAAGTGTTTGTGTGCAAGTGTATGAAATATAGTGATAAGTGTATATAGATGTAATTAAGCGCAATTTTGTGAAGTAGAAACCAAAATGAACAATTAAGGAAAGGAAAAGTGATGAAGAAATGTGAATTAAAAAAAAAAGTAAGTGAAAAATGAGAATGAATGAACCTAAAGGAATGCATCAGGTCGGGTATGGGAATGACTCCTAACTTTTTCGACTTCGATTTTCCCTTTGATTAGAAGGCAAAACTAGCGTGCTAAGGCTATCGAGTAGCCACACTCGCTCGTTTCCCTTATCGGAGGGGACACTCAAGCAAATGTACCCTAACTAGCATGAAATGCAAGACCTAAAGTGAAGGGGAAAGGTTTAGAGGAGCATGCCAAATGATAAAACTAAGGAAAATTACATGATATGTAGTGAACATGCAAATAATGCACTAATGAAAAGGAAATGGACCTATTGGGTCTAGCGTTGGACTAGCCCTCTATGAGTTCCTACTAGCGTTGGACTAGTGGAACGGAACAATGAACCACAGCTAGCGTTGGACTAGTGTGGTGGCGTACAAGGGCCACAACTAGCGTTGGACTAGCGTGGTGACGTGCATTCATCCATCACATTCATTCAAG